CATTTAGTGTTTTATTGCAAGGCATGATTTCAAGATTGCGAACATCATTCTTGCATGCTTTCTAAATTCAGCATTTTATTTTAAAGCCTGGTCACCAGAACTGAACAGAGCAGTGGTTTGGCCATTACTGTAGGTAAGAAGAACACAGACTCTCACTTCCTAGTGAATAGCCTGCTGTAGGAAAATGCTTATCTTTTAGCATCCTTAGAGGAAGTGGTAATAAATGTCATTCTGATTTGAAAATGAAATGTAGCAATGTGGTGGATTGAAAGCTTGGTAAAAGAAAAAGATAATTCAAAGTGTACATCTCTATGCTTTTATTTATCTTTAAGACTAGAAATTGGAGTGTACTAAAATGCTACATAAGAAATTACAATTAATCAGTGGAGGTGTACAAACGAGTATTTATCACAGCAATTTTTTGAATGGAACTATGACTTTTCTTTTGCCTGTTACCTAACACTGTTCCTGTTACACAGTGTGTTCTGAGTTTGGGGTTTATTTACTTAAAATGCCTGTCACTTTGTATATAAAATGTAATATCTATAAATTCAATGATCAGAGAAAATATTGGTACTGTTGCTTGTTGCAGGGAAAAAAAGAAAGACCTTGTTTCCAGACTATTATAATTTATTATTACTAACTACAAGTTTATCTGCTTATCAGCTGCCTGTCTGCAAACAGCTCTGAATGCAATAGATGGATGTTGACTATTGTTCAAAAATAGCTATTATTGAGTTTCCTTTTATTAATTTAAATGTTGGGATAATTTCATCAGTTTTTCTTCAAATTGTAATTTACCCTAGGTTTTCCTTACAGATCTTCCACTATCCCAGTCCCCAATTCTTACATTCCCTACTTCTTGTTTTTGTACTGAATCTCTTTGAACATGCCCCAGTTCACCTCTGATTTGGTTTTGCAGAATCTGCTTTGTGCCTCAGTACATCCCTTAGCCCTGTTCTTCTGCAAATTTCTAGAAACTGCTTCTCTTTTATATGGTTTATAGCTATGGCATCTAAGTACCAGAAACGAGGTGACCCAGACAGAGCCCGACACTTTCAACTTCTCTGTATTAATTTTTCCTTTGTTTCTTTCTTCCTCTTTCTCATGTTTACTTGCCCCAAGAGGGTGCCTGCATTTTTACCTTTCCCCCCTTACTTCTCTTCCACTCCCATGACAAGGTCACAGTAAAGAAGATTGCTCCTTCAGGAGAGGACCTTATTAAACCAGTAGGCCCTAAACATCAGTTTAGGATGCTGTTTGGGCTCTTAACCACAACTCTTCCGTGAATGTTTCTCACTCCCTGAAGCGGAGAGCATCAGCTCAGCTTTTATTAGCCATAGTTTATAGTTGTTTTGGCAGACAAACAATCTTCTACCAAACCTAATCCAATCACCCCAGAGATCTGCAGGTTAGGAGAAAGAGTTTAGAGCAGAGCTTATAGAGATATGGGGCTGCCCAATCACCCCAGAGATCTGCAGGTTAGGAGAGAGTTTAGAGCGGAGCTTATAGAGATATGGGGCTGATTCTTTTCACTGGAGAGAGATGCTGGTATGTGGTGCACATCCTGTGGTGGTTATTGCTGATCCCAGGGACCATGCCTTGTAGATGTCAAGCACCAAGATGACAGTAGACTGCCATGCAGTAAGTAGAGAAATGAAAAATCATGAAAAAGTCAGAAAGTGATTCTTGCTTTTAATTTGAAGCAGTAATTCAAAATGGCTGGGAGGACTCTCATGTTTTGCCGTATTTGTGGTACAGCAAAGTGAGTCATGGACAACGTGCTTCTCAAACTGGCAAGCTTCCTAGCCTGATCCCTGGTGTCTTTTGCCTTCCTGTTCCTGCTGCCCCTGCCAAATCCCATGGCTTGAGCCTGGCAGAGCTTGTGCTGCTGCAGGTCATGGATCCTCAGGCTGCAAACCATCTTCCTCAGCAACCAGCGCTATCTGGCTCTGCAGTCTCAGATATCCTTGATAGCAGTGGTTTTACCTTATGATCTCCACTTGTGAAATCCCTAGCTGAAACAAAGAGTGTTCCCCGTGACTTCTTGACACTTATTGGAGATCAGTGGTGGGAGACAGACAATAGACAAAGTCAGTCTGCAAAGGAGAGAGTAGCTTATCCTTGTCTGAAATAGAGCCAAGAGCAATATATCAATGTCCATACATATTTAACTCTAAGAACTGACTCAAGATTTGTCTTGCTGAAGTGTAATTTTGGAAGTTGAGGTATGGAAGTGGTTTTCTTCGATAAAAGTAGCTGCTATCAGAAGGTGATTGGTAGCCCTGTTGCTTTGCCTGTTTTTTTGCTGCTTTGCTGAACTCTGATGTGATGTTGTTATATTACTATGACACACATATGAAAATAAAAGCACTGTTGTCAGAGTGATGTAGCCAAATTATTACCATCCTGGTTTTTCTAGTATTCTGTTAAAAAAGGTGCAATATTTTTTATGTTTTAACTATAAGTTTTAATGTCATTTTAAGTAATGAAGAAAACAATAGCCAAATGATCATATGCAAATTCATATAAACAATGTAATATGAATTGAATAGATAGCACTGAAAATAGATTCGTCCTTCAGGTTCTGCTAGGGACAATGGTGAGAAAGGAGGAGAGGGTTTTGTAATGATGAGAACCACTTTGATATTATTACTTGAAATAGCTGCAAGCAGAAGCTATAGATAAAAATAATCTTCAAACTGTAGAGGTTGAAAGCTCTGAGAAGCCAAGAATGACTGCAGCTGCCTTGAGTGATGGTGGAACAAAGCCATATAGTTCTGAACAGTTTATGCAGATGAAATATAATCACAGAGTCAAAATGTGCAGTCATCAGGTTTGAGATCCAAGAAGCAGGTGGTACACATGTCTGTCTCAGGGTTTTGGAGGGGTTCCCTGGCATCAGCCATCTCAAAGAATCGTAGACTAAAGAAACAGTTTTGATATCTACAATTAGATAACACAAGAGGAGCATCACTTCAAACACAAAATTATTCCTTGTCTACAGCCTTCTCCAGACATTCAATGAGGCAGATTGTTCCTGTTCTAAAATAATGCCTCAGAACTCGATGCAGCTTTTTTCTGGAAGTGCTAAATGGAAGCTAATGACAGAGGGGAAATTATTTCCAAGTTTTGCAACTGGCAGCCATTACCAGAGGATCTATGAGCTTTTCAAATCCATTTTCATATACTTTAAATTGTGGCTTGTCAAGAACTGGGCAACCAAATGTGTAGAGAATATAGCCAAGGTGGCCCATTGCTCCTGAATTATTTATGACCTGATCATAGCATTTGGAGATCTTGTCACTGTTTATAAAAAAAAAAAAATCTGCATTAAAAATTTCACCAGTGATGTTTTGCTTCTGTATTCCTAGAAGAAAATGACCATTATAAATATTAATGTTTTCATAGCCCTGCAGTTTCAGTGGTCACTTAATGACATTATAGTGTGATGGGGTTTCTTAACTGCTACTAATCTTAAGTAATGAAGGAATCACTACAGTTTTGCTGCCTCAGATTTGAGAGAAAGGAACATTTTAAGGAAGAAGAAACAGTAACAATATTGAATAAATAATCTTGTGACTTTTAAGATATTTGAATATTTTTCTATAGCAAATGAATTAAAATAACATGTATATTGAGCCTGGATCTGAAAGTGGCTCTGTTCCTTCTTGACTAAAGGAGAATTTAATTGATGAATTAGCAGATTATGTGATCAATTTTCCCTTTCCATTTCTAAGAAATAATTGAATATATGCATATATGATTCAATGCAGCATTGAGTCTAGAGAGCATCAGTTGAGCAGCTACCATTCCATTTTCCCTTTCTGTTGCCAACTTAAAAATGCGTAACAGATACTGTGTCAGTGTAAAATGGTGAGCCCAGGCATTGATCTATCTTCTTTAAATCCTTTCATTATAAATTCTGTTATTAGAAATTAAAATCCTGGTATGCTATCACTTCAGTCCACTTTCCTTACCTGCCTATTCATGCTGATCATTAGCTATTCACTGCATCTGTGTGTTTGATAACCATTCTGTAATGCTGCATTTTTTTCCATATTTCATGGTTTAATTATTCCAGCTGGAAATGAGTAAAACTGCCAAAAGATTAAAGAAATGGCTTCTTCATTATTTAAGTAATGATTGCCCATTACTGGTCAGACAAGTGGATTGGGATTCAGGTGACCACATGTCAACATCTACAGTTTTGACATCTGTATCTAAGCTAGTCCTCCCAAGCTCCCTTTATAGATAATGGAGAGAAAAAAAGCATTTTTAGGATGCAATGTCATCCCAAATTAAGCTTTTGTAATAGTTCAGAGAATTTGCACCCTAAAATGCTCGTTTTATTTGACTGTAAATGGAAACAAGAGTGGCTGGCTTAGATGTTTATTGTGTAGATGTCCAAAGATGAATGAGATGAATCCCATCCGTGTGCTCAATTTAATCATAAATGCCCAGAGATTTTGTGCGATGACACTGCTAATGTGAATGTGCTGTGGCTTTTCTGTTCAGCACAAGCACCGAAAGCAGTACAGTCATATTAGGACTACATTTCAAATGGATCAGATTACCCTACTTTTCACCTTGGCACTATCCACATTCTTTCCAGAATGGATCGGTTTGGGGAACAGCATTAGTAGTCTGATGGTAGACATACAGAGGTGGTGTTTAATATTTATGTTGGAAGATAAATGTAATGGCCTTGATCAGACTAGATCCTTCTATGCAAAGTGGCGTATGTCATATTGAAAATAATAATAATAGTGCCTATTATTGCCCCAGAAAGCTCATGAGGAGCTAGTTTATAAACAATGAAAAGGGAGGAACTTGAATGGAAGTAGCATTATTTAAGAATGACACATGTCAGGGGCCTCTTAGACTAAAGAGGGTTGAAAAAGGTGACAGACATTGAATGCTGAGACATATTTTAGGTTCTGCAGTTAATTTAGGACGTTGCCTTAATGGTGATTTTTCCTGTGGGTTTTTCCCCTTAGGATGATTTTCAGCATGCAGCCTCAGAAACCAACTGGGAGTCAGTCACAAGCTCTGTCTCAGTAAGTAATTTGTTACTGTTTTGCCCATGGATGGATGGATTGATAGGATGGCTTGAATCCAACTCAGTAAAATGGCACCTGTACAGACAAACTATGAATTCACCTTTGGCAGAGGATGAAATAAATGTTTATCCAACTCATACTGGAGTCAACCATTGTGTTTTGAAGGAGAAAAGATTCAGGATATGCCATTAGCTGTTGTAAACACAGGAGACAGCCATTGGGAAATATTTCTTGCATTCAAACTCATCATGCTAAGATGAAAATACAAGATATACAAACTCCTTACAATTTTCAATTGTAGTATGGCTTGACCTAAATAGAGGACTATACATAAAACAGGCTGGCAGGAAAATAGATCTAGTTTTTCATTGTCCATACTGAGGTTCTTTTTAATTGTTCACAATATAATATTATATCTGAAGTGCCATCCAGAGAGACCTTGACAGGCAGGGGAGGTGGGCCTGTGCAAACCTCATGAAGTTAACAAGGCCAAGTGCAAGGTCCTGCATCTGAGTCAGAGCAATCCCAAGAACAGATACAGGCTGGGCAATGAGTGGATTGAGAGCAATGAGTGGAGGGAAAACAATACAAGCCAGCAATGTGTGCTCACAGCCCAGAAAGCCAATGGCATCCTGGGCTGCATCAAAAGAACCATGGCCAGCAGGTTGAGGGAGGTGGTTTTCCCCCTCTACTCTGCTCTGGTTAGACCCCACCTGCAGTGCTGCATCCAGCTTTGGGGCCCGCAGCTTCAGAAAGACATGGACCTGTTGGAGCGGGTCCAGAGGAGGGCCATGAAGATGATCAGGGGGCTGGAGCACCTCCCCTGTGAGGACAGGCTGAGAGAGTTGGGGTTGTTTAGCCTGGCAAAGAGAAGGCTCCAGGGAGACCTTATAGCGGCCTTCCAGTACATAAAGGGGGCCTGCAGGAAAGATGGGGAGGGACCTTTTACAAGGGCATGTAGTGACAGGACAAGGGGTAACAGTTTCAAACTGAAAGAGGGATATTTAGATTAGATATAAGGAAAAAATTCTTTACTGTGAGGGTGGTGAGACACTGGAGCAGGTTGCCCAGAGAAGCTGTGGCTGCCCCCTCCCTGGCAGTGTTCAAGGTCAAACTGGACAGGGCTTTGAGCAACCTGGTCTCGTGGAAGGTGTCCCTGGCCATGGCAGTGGGGTTGGAACTAGTTGATCTTTAAAGTCGCTTCCAACCCAAACCATTCTCTGATTCTCTGATTCTGAGTCTCCATATTCATCAGTGAAATGCAACTTGGGGAAAAAAAAAAAAAAAAAAAAAAAAGGAAAAAAAGTCGCCCAAAAAAAAAAAAAAAAAAAAGGAAAACAAGTCGTCCTATATAAAACTTTATTTTTTTCTTCATTACATTTGATTTGTGTCGTTGGCCAAAAATCTGTCACCTCTTGCATTTCCCAAGTAAAGTTAAATGCTGGGAATGGTAATGTAGTATCAGAATTGGTAGTACAGGCAGTCCTCTTCTGTGCACTCTGCTGGCTGGTCAGCACGATGTCACAGCTCTTGCAAACTCCTCTTAAAATGCATTAGACAAGGATAAGTGCTCAAAGCCAACTTGAGACCAATGTTTGGAGCATCCATGGAAGAGGGTTTAGTGATGGCACCTTTGTTACAGTAGCTGCCAGGAGTTGCCAGAGGAGGAACAGTAAATAAAATAAGGGTAAATTCTACTGATTAGTGTCCATGCTATGCGCGGTGTAGAGACAAAATTCCGTACTGCCAAAATTAGAAGAAGTTAAGCCAATCTCACTTATGTTTACCCTTGAGTTTGCAAACTAAATGATATGATGCATTGATAGCCTTGTACTAACTCTGCTGAAAGTTCTGAGTAGCGATGTTAGCAGAGCTGGGATCTACTGGATGTGCCAAGCATGAGATGCTAAAACACTTCTTTTACTGAAAGACATAAATTAATTTTTCATTCTAATATGGGGTTGGAAAAAAACCCTATGTGGTAGAATATTTTGTTTAAAAATATGGTAGGCTGATGTTTGAAAATGTAAGCTTAGGGCTCCCTCATCAGGTAACTATGAAAATGAGATCATGTATATGGTAAACGCCATATTAGTTATCCTCCTTAACATCATAAGGTGCACAATACACCAAACAGTAATCCAGTATTCTTTTCATATTGAAAAAAAGTAATTTATTTATCCTTCACATCTATTTGTGTCTGAAGTTTGTTGTTAATGTGTTACTGGTAGGGAAGTTCAATACAAATATTACAGGTAGCAAACTGATGCCCAAGGTCACATGGCAACCTACAGCTAAACCAGAAGCAGAACTCCAGTTTCACTGGTTTTCCCATGGCATCCCCTATGTAATAAAACATACCATCTTCCACTGGGCATGCATTGCACCTGCTAGCCCTTTCTTATCCTCAGGGAAAATAAAACAGAGAGATTGAGTAATTTTTCCCAAACACACTAAGAAGAAGTCTGAGGACATCCAAATTCTTCAGGATAGAAAGGTACAGGGATTGTGCTGTGGTCCTGAGAGGCAGAAGGACAAACTCAGACCTGTCAGTTGCCGACAACATGACATACTGTTCTGTTAATACTCAGCATGGCAGATCTGAAAGTTTTGACCCACAGGCAACCCAAAGACTTGTTTTAGGACCTGGGTACATTGCAGCTCTCAGAATGAGAGTCTGACATCATATCACAGAGTCTCTTTTTTTTTTTTTTTTTTTTTTCAAAAAGCTAAACCAAAACCTTTTACCCTTAACCCCGCATGGGAAATCCAGGGGAAAAAAAAAAAAAAAGAAACAAAGTTCACTCTTATTAGATAGTTTCCATTATTTGTGAAGTAATGTTATGACCAACAACTGTGATGCACACTGAACTGCCTGTCAGCTTCACAGTACAGATAGAAAATAGAAAAGAGGGGGGGAAAAAGAAATTAAGGGTAAGAGCACTGACAAAAAAAGAAACTTTTCTGTCCCATGAAATGAAAAATGCATTTGGTGCTTTAAGAAACATAGAAGAGGTGCATAATACGGAAAATCTTTGCTCTTCATTGCTTCTTGCTTTTCATTCTTCTTCTTGCCCTCTCTTTGGATGTGATCTCAGAAGCCAGATTATGACGAGCACAAGCTTTTCTAAAGCTAGCTCCTCATTCTTGGCAGGACAAAAGAGAGGCAGTTGGGTTGGCAGCTTTGAAGTTGCTTTTGGGCCTGTCACATGATGTCGCTGCCAGTAGGTTATCTGAGCTGTTGAAATAATTTCTCTTGACTTGGCTGTCACTGTGTGTGAACGAGGTTACACAAATCTCTTGAGTGGGGAATCATTGCTGCCTGTATGAGTTTGAAATGCCCAGCAAATTCACAGCCTGACCTGCAGTTGTGTGATTAAATGCACAGTTGAAAACATGAAAAAAACTCTTGCATCGTCTAAGCCACACACCTATAGCCTGATTTTTGTGATGCTTTTTCTTGAGCATCCTTGCACCATCTCCCTCACTTTTGAAAGGTAGTCAGGGATTGACGTTTCTCTGTTGAGCTGCAGTTGCAGATGAGCCATGAGTTCCACTAAGCTCTCCTCAGTGAGCAAGTAGCATGTGGGTGCATTTTGCTTTTGTAACCTCAAAGACTGCGTTAGCACACTGCCTGATGCCCGCTCACAGCACAGTCTCTCCTGCAGCATTGTTTTAGATAACAATGCTGTGTTCACTTTGCTGGCATGAACTTTTCAACTCCCGGGGCTCCTGTCTCTCTGTTGGTCTCTATTCCAAGACACTTAGAAGTCAGAAGAGATGCTTTGCAGTATGCCTTCCATTTTAGTGGGTTATGAATTTTTGCAGCCATCTGCACTGTCTTATTCAGCACTGCATTGTAGAGGCATTGCAGTCGTAAGTGAGCCCTCTGAAACTTCTTGTGCTGTTGGTGATAAGCAGCAAAGCACAGCTATGCTTTCTTGACTACACTGTTGTAATGTTTTCTATTTCTTCTCTTTCTTGTTTTTAATAATTTGGACCACCCATACTTTCAGCAAACATATACAATAAAATAGCAAGGATTGTTACTTTTTCTGATATAACTTACTGTTAAAGACATGTTTTATCATTATGACATATGTGATTTGTCATATGACAAAGACATATATAAAAACTATTTTAGTAAGCATTGAAGGACACAGTCTTGCAAACAAGTGAGTAACTTTACTTGCATGAGTTGACCTTTCCATTACTACCCAGCTGAGTGAAGTTAATCACAAAGATTAATAGTTTAATGTATGCATTTACTTGGGAGATGAGGCAAAAATGATATTTTTGGGAGACATTGCTTTTAAATGGTGTATTTCTGCTACATTACTTCAAAGCTGTGTTTTCATGAGAGAAGAGGGTTTCTAGGGTTTTTCAAGCAGTGTTTTAACTTATAAGATCAAAATCCAAACAACTCTTGTGCTATATTATGCTTCTTGTACTAAATCAGGTATTTTGATTGTGGTTCTTCAGAAAGTAACAGATCTGCATTAACAGTTTTTCTTGCACATATTTTACACATACTATTAGGCTTTATGCTTGGACAAGGGAAAAAGTGATATCAGGGTAGTGAATATTGTGATTCTAAATATCAATTGTTAAAAATGTTTAAAGTCCTCTCCAGTAAAAATGAAATTTCTGCAATCTTTCTATCAGAGTCAAGTTGTGCCACGAGTTCAGTGGGAGCCAAATACACTCTGAATGGTACTTGGCCCGTCCTGGTGGGAAATAATACTACAATTTGGTATTATGATATAATTGTGAAGATATCCCTATGTTGCTAATCCAAATATTTATTGTTACATTGCTGAGATCCAAATATCGTGTTTTTTTCTCATGTGCTTAGTTACTTGTATTTTTGGTAAAAGGGTGAGAGAATTGGCATTCACCAGTCTTTTATGATACAATTAATTCCTGGGAATAAAAGGCCATCTTTTCAAGTCTTTAACCAAAGGAAATTTGTTGTCCAAATTGACCAGGGAAAGAAAGACAGTCTAGTGGACTTACTGCCTTTGTCTTTCTTTGCTGTGCTTTCTGATCTGCCTATTATGGATTTACCAACAGAGCTGGCAGAGCTGTGAAGGCACCACACCAGCACTACAAGGCACCTCGGTTCTGTTTTCAAAAGGCAATTCCATTACATCTTTTTGTATGTGCAAACTGTCGTCCCCTTTGAGGAGCGGGTGTGTGTGTTGACAGTCCAACAATGGCAGAGCTTCCACTCCCTGTATCTCATCTGGGATTTGCTTGGGAGTTCCTTGGTATTTCTTCTCCTTGAAAAAAGAAAACACAGACATAACAAAGCCTGGCCCAGCTAAAGACTTCAAAAAATGGCCCAAAGTAGCTGTTTCAGTCAATAATCAGGCAAATTTCTCAGTAACTGTTTTCAATTGTTTTAAGTGCTGTAATTTATTCCAAGTACACTGAGATGTATGTCACTCTTAGGGGGTATCCTATCCCTCTCCATCAGTGACTGACCCTACGCTCACAGCGGAAGCACTGGATCAGACCATTGCTGCGTTTGACACAGTGGAGGATCTACTCAAATACTTTAACCCAGACTCCTGGCAAGAAGATCTCGAGAATTTGTACACCGACAGTGGCCACCATTATCGAGGCAGGAGCTACCATGACAGGAAGTCCAAAGGTAGGAAGAGACACTATATACATACTCTGGGGCAAGACCAAGATATTCCTGGTAAGGTATCACCTATTAAAACCAGGGATAGGTCATTTAATCCTTAATCATTTTCTGGCTGAGTAGGCTCTCGCCTGAGAAGTGATGAAAACTGCCCATCATTATGATGAATTCACAAATAAAACATAGGCCCACGTGTAAAGGACAGATGGTTCTCAGCTTCACCCTCTTAAACATTGCTTTGTGTGTAAGGCATGGGGCTCCTAATTACCTGCACTATCATCCTCCTTTAAATACCGTGCTTAAGGATTGTTCTCTGTTGAGAGAGGAATGATCACCTTTATCACATTGTGCTTAGGGAAGCATCTGGTGCAGACACCTGTATATGCAGCTGTTTTTTTAGGATGTGAACATCTCACTGTTTTTCATTATGTTGGAGGGGAACATTATTATGGTTGTCTGTAATTGAGCAAAGCACACATTTCTGGGTTAAGTTTCTTGTTTCCTTCTGTTAGTTCAAATCATCCACCAAATGGTGAAGCAAAGGAATGTTAAGCTGGCAGTACAAAACCGTAATGATAAAGAAACACCATTTGGAAGAGACAGTTGTGCTCTGGGGTAACCATGCACTGAGGGCCTGATGAAATTGCCCTTTATGTGCAAGTGCCAATCTAGGAGGTCTGTTAGGATTCTCCAAGATGACAATTGCTGTAGTTTTCGCAGAAGATCTGGAGTGAAATATTTTATTTAAGATCTCTTGCTAATATTGTCTTCCATTTCCAAGTTACATATTCATATACATTCTTCTTTATAACTTTAAAATTGTAATGCCCAAATCACCGTTCTCATTCTGTGCAATCTACTATTTTTTTGCATCTCAAATCCAATCCCCCCTATGTTATGCATGTGCTAAGCAGGGAGAGAGGATTTTAATTCTGTGTTTGTAACTTACTTGCTATCAAATGATGAGGCTTTGATCTTAAAAGGGATATATAGGCTGCATCTGTATTAGGGAAAATAGTGTTAAGGAATGTTCCAGGCCCTGAACTCCAATCACCTTACTTTTAAAATACCAGCTTGCACTCCGCTTAGTTTTGGCGTAGGCTAAACATCACTCTCCTGGGTCATTGCTGGGCGTGAACCAGGAGTTGGAAGAGGCCAGCTGCCATTCCTGGTGGGTAGTTTGCATGTGGCCACCTTGTCTTGGAGAGTAAGAGGTAAGTGGTAGGAATTTGAGCTGTCGCATGGCTGTGGTCCTTTGTGCAGGAGAATGACCTCAGGCACGTACAGTGTTTTAGTAGAAGTGCAGCCAACTTGGTGTACAGTTTCCAACACATGTTGGCCATCTCTGGTTTTGGGCTCAGCACTTCAAAGGAATCTGCGATAAAGCCCTGAGCACCCATCCAGTGAAAAGTGATTTTACTATGGTCTCTTTTGGTACGTCAGAAATTTCAGGCAACGACAGCAGCCCATGTTTTGTGAAAATTGTCTCCTAACTGCCACTGCATCACTTCTGAGATCAGTTTGATCTCATTTAGGGGTCTGTGAAACATGATCTGTGTGTCCCTTAGTCCTAGGCTGGATTTGGCACCAATAGACATGTAAACAAAAGAAATAAAGTGTCTGTTTTGATTTTAATAGAAACTGATTAGAAACCTGATTTCCTGTGCTGGTTCTACTCTCCAGATTTCATTTGATTCTCAGATCATATTTGGTAACCCATATTTAAATGACCATGTATATATAAGCATATGCTGCTTTATTGATGCTGATTGTGTAGGCTAGAGGTATCAATCTGATCCGGTGGTGCTCAAAATATTCAGATGCATAAAGGTTTCTCCATTTAGTATAAATGTAATTTAGCTTCTTGCATAACGAAACACTGTAAAAAACATAAGGAGCCTTCCAGTTATTATTTTAACACTCGGTTTATTTTAATAGGATTTTTGTTGTTGTTGTTTTAGTTACAGGAATAAGAAAAAAGGTTTTATAACAGTTTTTCTTTTGTCTTCAAACTAAAGGCCAAATTCCCTGACTGTTAGCAGCCCTCTGGACAAAAGTACCTCACCACAATCAAATCCTTAAAAAGTTTCAGTTAAGAATTTAGTCATAAACTTCTGACAAGATTAAAGGCTTGTTCTTGGATGATGTCAGGAGTAGGAAATAGCTTTAACAAGTCCTTAAATTAGAAATGCTTGGTGGCTTTTAAACACAGACACTGTGGATCTCTGAGGAATGTTTATAGGCACTGGGATAACCTTGCAGCAAAGAGATTAATAGATTATATCATCATTTATTTCAGATATCTATCTGTTTCTGCTTGCAGCTTGGGGTTTTTTTATCCTTAGTTAGAACAGCCCTGAGGCAGATAAGAACAATTTGATGTAATCGCTGCCTGTCTTTCACAGCATTTTCAGAACATGTCATATAAATGGTATAAATGAATCACTAATGATTTTGTTCCTATCCAACTCTCTGCCCATACCAGATTGTGCCACAAAATTGAGCTTAAGAAGCAGTGTTGCTGAATACCAATTCTGATAATGGGGATATGTGATAAATTATATTTAAATGGTATGTTTTCTTAATCTGGCAATCGATAATCTACAAAGATAAGGATCAGAGTCAAGGAAATAAGTACAGTACTTTAGCATAGCTGAAACTCACAGAATCATGGAACAGATGAAGTGGGAAGGCACCTCAGGAGTTTGTCTAGTCCATCCCCTCTGCTGAAGGCAGGGGTCACCAGTAGCAGGATGCTTGGGACCGTGATTCAGTCAGGTTTTTAATATCTCCAAGGATGGAAGCTACACAACCTCTCTGGACAACCTGTGTCTGACCACTCTCTGAACAAACAAACAAAAATTTTGGGGTTTTTTTAATACTTAAATAGGCTTTCTTGTGTTACAATTTGAATCCAGTACCTCTTGTCCTTTCAAAGAAGACTCTGGCTCTGTCTTCTTTATTCCTTCCCATCATATATTTATACATATCAATATACACATACACAGATCGATCCCTCCCTGGATACCTCCTGCAAGAACCTTAAAGATTAAGAATATGTTCATTAAATCTGTATGTATAACTCCATTCCATCTACAAAAATCTGATCTCACACCTCTACAATACTGATGCAACTCTGTTGAGTTAAATGCATTTCCTTCTGTTTACACTGTTGAAGTGAGATATTGGTATCATCAGGTGTGTCTTGCTAATAACTACATGAGGCTTGAAATTTAATTCTGCATATCTTCAGTGAGGTTTCCTGTTAACCACTCCAGTAAAAGTTAACTATAGAATCACAGTGAAACCCAGACTGGCAGAAAAGGACAGAAAAGAAAGGGGAAAACTAACATTCACATTTTCAAAATCCTTAAACGAGAGGCCTTGTGTAAACTGTGAACTACAGTGTACACCTCCTACAAGAAAATATGACAAGTCAATTTCAAATACCTTTGCAGCAGTTGTATATATACTCAAAAAGGTTTGCTAGCCATTGCTGCATTTCAGAAATCCTGAAAGCGTGAATATTCAGCCTTAAGCTCATCCTAGACTCTTAGGAAAAAAAGCAGGTCATACCAAATAAAGTATATCCTTCAAATTAATTCCTTTTGCATTGCTGTGATATGTTGTAGCTGACCTTTATGTCATAGTAATTTGTCTGTTACAAATATAAAGCATCTCTAAAAGGATATCACAGGCCATTGGATTATTTAATACTTTCTTATCAAGAACACAGGTAGCTATAAAAAAGAAAACAGCCATACTCTACAATTATGTTGATCTTCTGGACAAATAAGTTTCAATTCTTTTAGAGAGTCATAAGGAGCATTCAGACATGTTTGAAGGAAATCTCTTCATCCTACAGTTTACATTTTTGAAAACATCCCTGTATCTACTTGATAATATTAGAAGAGCTCCTCAGAGATATGTTGTAAACAGTTCCAACCATCAATTAAAGATTATTTAACTTTTCCCACATGCTTGTTTGCATTTATCTTTTGTTGTTCACTTTGAAGTTTTACATCCTATTGAAAAAGGCTTTATAATTTAAAAAGACCTCTGCCTGTGAAATGGCTTGTGTACAAATGAAGAAAGAAAGGAGAAAGAAGTTCACTGTTTCTTATCGTAGAAATAGATCCAAATGTCTAGGGGATGGTACCTAGAGAAAAGGGTCATCTTAAAAAGGAATGATTTGGGTTTGATTTTTTTTTCCTCCACAAATCAATGTAGGAAGCAGGAACACATGTAGATACGTACATTCTGGTAATTAACAAGACTACACATGCCTCTGAGCCCATTTTCTTTTTTGGAAATGGTGTGCAAGAAGCCTTTGGCTATCAATCAGAAGAAATTAATCAGATGGGACATTCTTGCAGTGACAGTTTTACAAGTTAAGTAAATAAACACTTGCTGGCATACCCACACTGCTTTCTAGAAGTGGAGTAGCGAGATGAGACCACAAGTCTTCATAGAATGTTTCTGCTGTCCATTGACAAACAGGTTCCCAAGATCAGGCAAGTTTTGCCATGTCCTTAACGGTAGTTTTTAATTGTCACTACTTACAATGGTCTAGCAAGAAGTTAAAATTTTAACTCAGGAATGTAATTTCTCAGGAGTTTGCAAACAGCGGCCAATAAATTACTGCAAACGTCCATGTACTCTTCCTTGAAAGGTTCTGGGATGGCTGCCAGCAAGTTTCAGTGCACCAGACAGGGAGTGCAGGCATCACGAATGCTGAATGCCCGCTCACTCACAGCAAATGTGAATATTCCAAGTAGGTGAAATACCTTCTCAAATAACTGCTAATTTAACATATTCCCTGTGCTTAAAATAAAGGATATTTTTTCCACCCTTCATCAGTTGGGAACCAACTTGTCTGTTGCGTGCAAACTACACACATTCATTCATATCACACTCTAGTTCAGATCTACATCCATACTCTTCCACCTCTGTGACAAATGAGATTTTCCCTCATGCTTTACATGACATTATTGTCGGTCACTGCA